AAGAAATCCAAAACCAAGGAACAAATAGAAAAAGACGTGTAAATAGAAGAACTGAAATTAAACCAAATCAAGAGCCAAATTGAATAAATTAAAAGTTTATTATGCAATTGAGGGTCAAATTGCATAAATTCAAGATCAAGGATCAAAGTGAAAAAGACACCCAACTTCAGGGCCGCTGTTTGATTTTTGACAGAAATGCAATTGCATTGATTTGTTAATCAAAATTACAATTTAAGACTTGATTGAACAAATCATAAATTGAGGACTAATTTGTATTTTAACATAAGTTTAGTGTCTTTTTCATTTAAATAAAACAATGTGTTTTGCTCAAAACGATGCTATTTCATTCATTGTTTAAAAAAAAAAGAGACTTTGGAATGATGCCGTTTTGAATGGTACCATATGTCATCTTCTTCCTTTAGACGTGCAGAGAATAGGGGAAGAAGATTTTTTTTCTCCCCTCTATTTCTCACTAACTCCCCCTCTCTCTTAAACCTTAAAAAGACACCGACAACCCACTTGCTTGCCACATGGTGGAAGAATGGAGGGGACGTATCCCTTGGGCTGTTTGGGGCGGCAACATAGTGGTCGCCCCTGTCCACTATCTTTCTCTATTTTTGCCTATAAAAAAAAAGGAAGAAAAGAGAAAAAGGGACGATGAAAAAATAAGGAGGAGAGGAGGAAAGAAAGAAAAAAGAGAGGGCAAAAGAAAGGGAGAAGATAAGGGAATAAAGAAGAAGAGAAAGAAAACAGGGGAGAAGAGGAAAAAAAAAACGCCGCCCCCTGCCACCCTCAGCTCCCCAACAGTATCACCTGCCATCGCGAACCACCAGCAACGCCACTGTTCCAGGTAACTGCACCTCCCTTTTCTCTATTTATTCCCTCACCTACATTTGCATGTAGAACATGATTCTGCATCAAATGTAGTAATGGTTGATTAATGTGCTCATGCATAATAACCAGTCCATTTGGTCTTGAGCTGGGACATTAGTCTAGCTCACAGTAGATGGGTCAGATCCGGCTCAGCCTAGAAAGGGTGAGCTAGGTTTGATCCACTTCATTTTTTTAAAAAAATTCAAAAATATTTATTTCAGAATTTTATAATTTTTCCACATAGTTTTTATGTCATTTTGAGTAATATCGGGTAGTATTTTTATGTCATAAAAATACAAATCTGGTATTAAAATACCTGGTTGTTGTCAAAACTTTCAAAAATTTTAAAAAATTAAAAACAGAAAAAATATTTTTATGCATAAGGTCAAGTGTCTCAAAGCTAAAAAAATTATATTGTGTTTTTTATATACCAAAAAACAATGTTTTAGCATGCATTTTGGCTTTAATAAACAGTTTATTAAAATCAAGAGAACATTGGCTAAAACTGCAAAAACCATAAAATTTTATTTTGTTTTGTTTTAGTACTAGGGATTACAAATTTATAAGTAAAACATATTTATAATATTAAAAAAGGTATTTTTTTTATTAACGGCATAGAACAATTAAGTTTTTACATGAAAATGTAAGGATCTCTTTACAGAGAAGAACTTTTCTTAAATCATAAATAGACTGACAAATTTTAAACACCACAACTAGATCTTAGATTTCATTAGACACAATAGTGCAGCTTACCTTAGGTAGAGCGTAGTTGGGGTGCTAATACCTTCTCTTTACGCAGCCAGTCTCCGTACCCCATCTCTGAGACCAATTAGAGTTCATAGTGACAAGAATACCAGGTGGCAATTCTCAATCCATATTTTATTGATTAGAGATAAGAAATTCTCGTTGCCTCTTTATATTTTGTTATAATAAACTATATATCTGTTTATTTTTATAATTTTTTAGGGTAGACAATTACCGCGACACCGCATAACTGCGACAAAGCTTGTTTGTTTAAGTAGGATATTGCACTTTGATATAGAAAGTTATTTGAGGATGTTTAATTGATTATGTTTTTGCATGATTCATAGAGTTATGAACATGTTAAGTGTTTTGGTAATTTAGGGAAAAATAAATAAATGATGTATTAGGCTGGAAAATTATTGATGTTAATTTTGTATGAGCATGTTTTAGAAATGACTTGAATATAAAACGAGTTTTTGAATGGTAATTAATTGTGTGAGAAGCTGTTGATAAGATTGGAAATTGTTAGTGATTGTTTGGTTGTGAATATATGAATATAATCTAGAGGATTTGATTAATTTTGAATACGTTATAAAGATGATTTTGATATAAGCAACGTGTGAAGAATTAGAATAATGAATGATCATATTATGTTTTTTTTAAAAAGATAAGGTAAAAAAAAAAACATTGATAAAATAATAATTGATTAATCAATTTAAAATGATATAGTTTAATATTAGTTCTAGTTTTTCATATATGCTGATCAATGAACAACAAGATCAATGAAAATGAATAAAATTAAAAATGATCCTTGTTTTCATTGTTAGATAATTGATCCAACATGAAATAGTTTAATATTAGTTTCTGTCTTTTGAATGTTAATTATCAAATGATAGGATCAGTTGATGAGAATATTTTGAAACATGTGTTTCTAAAAAAATTATTTATTTTGTTAAAAATTATTTTTTAATATATTTTGAATTATTTTGATAAGTTAATCTCAAAAATAAAAAAATATTATTTTAATGTATTTTGATATAAAAAATAATTTAAAAAACAATCATAATTACATTCCCAAACAATAATGAATTAATTGTTTCCATTAATTATTAATGAATCCGGGATCCTTTAATATTGGATCCGTTATTTAGATGTTGATAAGTAAATAATCATACCAATTAATACATGATCTCTTTAAATGATCCCATCACATCCCATGATAGAATGGTTTAATATGGTTTCATATTAGGACCTGTTCTTTAAGGGCTAATTAATAAACTATAGGGCCAGTTAATATAACTTTATTATTCACCGAAATGATAGATGAGCTGTAAGGTCCAATGCTAGACCCATTTCTTGGACTTTGTTTAATGGATAATAAAAACAATACCATCTATTATATGTGATGATGATATTTATATATCTTTTTTATTATATGACTAGCTCCTCATCTAAAATTTCTATAGAATAATTAGAGCTTTTAGTTATTATAAATCTAGATGTAAATGTAGGTTGCTTTTTATTTTTTACCCTTTTTACACTTAATTTGTCTCAAAATCCCCCGTGACTCCTTGCATGAAAATAAAAATATCAGCTGAAAGATCTAGGTAGCAGTGAAATCAGTGAATGGCCGAAAGAAAAGATGCAAGCTATACATTAACTTGTTAAACAATGTTTATATTTTAGATCTGAATTCTAGATATTTAGTTTGATTGTAAAAATTTTATTATGGCATTTAAATTTAATTCACTCTTTATATACAAAGGATCATCTTGTAGTTTGATTGACTTCATATCTAAATGTAAGTGTTATTTATTTTTAATTAAATGAAATTCTTATAATTTATGATCTAATAATGATAATGTATTAATTAGATTTAAATCATTACACACACATATAGTCATCATAATAATTTTTTTTTGATCTAGATCTTTGTTTTTTTTATTATTATAAAATTTTCATTCAATGTTATTTTGGATATCATTTAATATGGCATTTAAGCTCATTTTATTTTTTATATATTTTTTTATTAATGTATGTATTCGGGTCAGTTTATATGTATTTCTACTAATTTTATTAGTCATGAAATTAACGATCATGTAAACTTTTAATGACCCTGCGATCTGTAAAATTCAAACTAATAACTTTTAAAAAGCAAATCTAAAACTTGATCAGCTAAGCAACACTTACTCAGAATTATTTTTATATTTAAAAATTATCTTGTATCTTGGTAGGCTTCAAATATAAATGCAAAAACCTTCCTCGTTTCTTTTCAAATAATATATATTCATGATAACTGTTGTTATCCATTGAAAGAACACAAAATATTTTTCCATTGCCAAGAGTACTCGTCTAATTAATTGTTCAACGATGCAAAAATATTTTGATAGTATATATATCCAAGAATTCATCAGGATGCTTGATTTTTGAACATTCTAATTCAAGGATTTGAAGGAGTGCATTCATTGCATGAATAAGAATCCTAAAATTATAATTACTCTCTCGGATTAGCTAATTGGTTTAGATCGATGTTGCTAGGCCAACTTTTATTTTTGTATTTCGAAGTGTTTTAAAAATGTACCTTTAAAAGTGTATTTGATTGAAAATAATTTAAATTGAAGTTTTCTAATTGCTTTTAATAATTTTGATATAATGATATAAAAATTAAAAAAAATATAATAAATTATTTTAATATATTTTTAAATAAAAAATTATATATCACAATATTAAATATAATCTAAACACACTAAGAAATCCGGTCAAATGGACTAAATAGTCAAGTACTGACTTGATTTTGAAAAAAAGATTTTCCTCAACTCAAGTTATGTACATACTACTTTATATATATTTTTTTGTGTTTTATATATAGTATAATATTATATTTTTTTTTTTGTGTTTTATATATAGTATAATATATTTTTATCATAGTACCACCGACTAAACGGTCCGATCATTGACCCATTGGTGGATCAATAATGAATTAAATCCTCTATATTTGTTTAACTCTCCTGTATTGCTTAATTTCCATCATATGTGAATATATTTATGATGCAATTTAAATATAAAACCACAATCCTAATATAAAGTATAATTCTAATTTTGTAGACATTTGCCTCTCTTTTCCCCCCAGCAACCCTAGAACAGATCTTCTAACATCGTCAATTTTTCCTAGGCACCGGTCCTTATGCTAGCTTTGAAGCACGTCAAACTTATTTTTTTGTCTTAAGCACATAAAAACCTAGATATTGGGATATGAAGATATATCTGTTTTACAGCTTGTTAATCTCCCTTTCTATATTCTCCTTCATTAATAAAGTTCAAAAAAATTTCTGCCGTGAAGTTTACAATGAAATGATATGCAGATAGCTGTGAGAAAGATTACGTCAAAACTCTTTAATATCGACAAGAGCAACAGAGGAACACAACAGCTGTTCAAGGAGAAAGTATAATTTAGAAAACAATCTGCAGATAAATCCGACATGGCAAAAAAAAAGTGAGTAGGAATTAAATAAGATTCAAAACACTTTATTTTGATAATTAACTCTTTAATCACGAGATGTTTCATGCATGGTTACTTTTTTTTATCCCATTTCCGATAGAAGATCTCTTCCGTGATATACCTGGGCACATAACTGTTCCCATAGTTTCTCACTGCCCTAAAATAAATCCCATCATCCCTCACTAGCCAAATGATTTCTCTCGTAGCGGTCAATCCCTGTAGGTTGAAGTTTTTATTCTTCTGAAGATTATCTACAGACCAGAAAACGTCGAAAGAAGCATAACTCTTTCTGTCCTTGGACATAGAGCACCAAAACAATGTAGTTGCCCAGTAGAAGTTCTCTACGAAACGAAACACGAATCGATCCTTGCTCTGAACATGGTGGGGGCCAAGATCATCATCTTTAGACTTGCAGTGCACAAACAACCTCTTGTTATGGCTCAATTGATTGACGATATTTACTTTCCACCCCATCTTTTCGGTCCACAGGTCCCAAGCTGCGGAGGAGGGAGTCAAGGCATTTGCCAAGAGAAGAAACAATATTACTGTATATTTGATATCCATTGTTTAAACCCTTCTTTTTATTCCTAACTTTATTCCCCTGCCTGGTGTCTCAAAGCACTCTCAATATATATATAGTAATTAATGGCGTTACTTTGGTCATGCAATAAATATTATTAATTCTCTTTCCGGGTTCCTTTGGAAGATAATTAAAGCTTACTTCTCTCTCTTAGAGACATTAATTTCTAGATAATATCAGTTTATGATCTCAAAAATGATAGTGGGTTGATTAGATTTGATATAATATTTTTATAGCGTATTGACATTATATATATCACGAAAAACTTTTTTTGAAACCCATTTTTCTTTCCTTCTCTTTTATGCTTTCAGATTTCAAGAGTTTCTTGACTTTTTTATTTTATTTTATTGTCATGATGGTATTTTTTAATTTTCTTGTCGTAGATTTGAAGAAAAAATGACTTTAAGATTTGAAGCTCTGAAGCACTTCAAACCATTCTCCAGATATTTTCATTTTACAGTTAATTAATTTTCCTTTCCTTATTCTCCAACACGCCACCATGTTCAAAAAACTTTCTGTTGGGTCGAGCAAGTCGGCTTCCCAGGGATTTTATTTTTTTTTCATTTGATTTTTTTATATTTATTTTTCTTGTCAATTCTTTTATATCAATATCTTCATTTAATACTTTGTTTATTTTGAATAAAATTGGAATATATAATTTGTTTTAAGCAAACAAAATAATGAAAACAAATTAAGTCCACCACCCGGCTCATGTATTATATAATAGAGTAAAAAATAGTAAATCCTAGATCAATTCAATAATTAGCCACTTTATATTTTAAAAATATAATTATGTCATCTTGGATTTGTTTTTAGCTAGAGTTATATTTCTTTTGTTCATTTTTTTCCTTCAAAATTAGGCTATCTGGTATGAACTATTTCATCAGACAACATATTAATATGATAAGAAATATTGATGTGGTAGAATTGGAAAGGGTTTCTTTTAAGGGCTATCAAAATCGATCGGAATATTCCACACGTCATGTAATTATTATTTTTTCCTTCATTAAAAAATGCATAATTGAAAATGTGGGCATCGTTTTCTGGTGTTTTTGGCTTTACAGGAGGGGAGGGGGGCGTCATGCAATCAGACAAGGTGGAACCCAACACTTTTGGCTTCATGTTGAAAGGATGAATAATAGCCCTAGGGGCGGTGCATCATCGTGCTGAAAGTGCATAATTGAAAAACTGCATGATTGAAATGGGGGCGTCGTTTTTCTGGAGTTTTTGGCTTTACAGGAGGGGAGGGGACCGTCCAGCAATCAGACAAGGTGGAATCCATCACTTTTGGCTTCATGTTGAAAAGATGAATAATAGCCTTAAGGACGGTGCATCATCGTATTGAAAATGCCTTCTGATTGAAACGGATTGTTTTTGTGTTTTAAATATTTTTTTTAAATTAAATGTTTTTAATAGTTTTAGGTTACTTTAATACGTGTATGTGAAAAATAATTTTTTTAAAATAAAAATAATTATTATAATATATTTTCAAGTTAAAAATATATTTATTTTTGTGACTGTGGTTAAGTTTTATGCATGAAACCTATCAAAAATACTGAAAGAAGGAGAAAAATTAGTTTTTATTATTAAGTTTTATGCATAATTAGATTATACCTAACCTCAACTACAACTATTAAAATCAACATACATTTAGCTCAATCATGTTACAAGAGAGAATGGTTATTTTAAGTTTTAAAAGTATATACTGATGTTAAAAATAATTTTTTTAAAAATAAAATATATTATTTTAATGCATTTTCGAGCTAAAAGCGTGTTTATTTTTGTGATTGAGGTTGCGTTTTGTGCATGAAACCCACTAAAAAATTAAAAAAAAAATAAGAAATTTAGTTTTTATTATTAAGTTTTATACATAATTAAATTATACCTGACCTCAATTACAACCACAACCACTAAAATAATCATACTTGTAGCTCTATCGATGTTATGTGAAAAGACAACAAGAGAGGATGATTAACTTGTGTTCTTTGATAGAAAATAAATTAAATTTGAACAAAATCATGATTGCTGAGATCTTAAAAAAAACATTGGCATTTCTTTTTAATAAAGAATTCTAGTTGGAGATTGCCTCTTTAGGAATCGTGTCATACGCAATATTATATATATAAAAAAATAAATTTTTTTTGAGCTCGTAAAACTCTTTGTTTATTAAATTATTATAAACTATATTAATTTGACACCTTCTCCTCCTCCTTATTCTTCCTCCTTATTCTTTTATGACTTCTTCCTCTTTTCATCTTTCCCCCTCCCTTGCAATTTGAAAGTCAAATTCTACTAAATTCAACTATCTCTATGAAGTTAGCATTTGAGATGATAACAAAAACAGTCTCTGAAACAGATTTTCCTCTTTAAAATCCTTATAATGCTTTTGTAAAAAATCTCTTTCTGTTATCCGCAGTATTAAAACTCTCATCAAACAACCCTTTCATGCCACCAAAAAATATGTTTAAACATCCTTTTTTAACCACCATAAAATCCCTTCTACCTCTCAAGAATAGTTTCTTACTTTAGAAATTCCTTCCAAATTTCTACACTCATGGATTTACCAAGGTTACACACATCTTCATTTTGGTGCTCTAAGAATAGCCTTGTCTTATCATGGCCGTAAAGGTTTACCCATTGCAACAAGATAAGCTTTTCTAGATACCAAATATCTAGAATATCAACATGCATGTATTGGATCTTTTGAAACTACATTTAATTGTAGTACTGTAGTTGTTACTTTCTATTCAAACTTTAATATGGCTTTAGATGACCCTCAACTTAACCACTTTCTAAAAGTCCAACTGCAAATCACAACTATTGATAAGGTATAAGACACTTATCAAGTCACTTTTCATTATTAAATGGCTTATCGATTCCAAAACCATGCTTTTGATTTAGTACTTCCTCTTATAAATGATGCTTTGCTTATTATTTTTTATACCAATTAAAGAGCCACTTGTACTTATGTCCCATAAAAATCCCAAAAAAGAACTTATAGAAGTTACTACCCTCTTCCTGGATTACCAATTACGAAAAGCTGTATCTAAGCTCTGTCCTTATACAATCTATAGAACCCGAGTTCACCAAAAAGACTGATGGTATTGTTGAAATTATCTTTACGAAAAGAGAATCTTCCTTTTCTCCACTAGGAATCTTTTCCTCCTCCATCTTGATGATGCAACCAGTTGAAGATCCTCTCCCAGTTGATGTAGAATCCTTCTCTAAGGATGGTCTCCTAGTCTATTATTTCTCTTAGGATAGCCATATTTTTTAGGATACTTGTAATTGCGAGAGTTGCTGTATCCTAGACATGGATGATGAATCCTCCAGGTAAGAAATAACATCTTCAGGCAAAAATCTGAAAGACAAATACAATCAAGGAGACAGAACAATTAATATTTTAGGACAACTTTTTGAAAAATTTGATTATCTTGTCAAATATACTCCTTCCTCTTGGAAAACTCCAGAACCAATCCTTACAGTCTCCATGTATAAATCTATAAGTCCTTATGATGATGATTTTCCTGTTTTATAAGAACAGGAAAATCATCAAAGACAGGGTTCGAGCTCTTCCACAAGTTCACAGCCCCCAAGGTGTAGATATTGATGGACGCCCTAAACAAGTCACCCAAACCAAAGTAGTTCTTAATTGGTAAAGTCAAAATGCCATCGCCTAAAATTCTGTTCTTCATGGAATTGAATCTAAGGTTGATTTGGTTCAGACTAATCTGAGGAAGATAACAATCTTTATTGATTCTTGAATTCTTCATCTAAAACAACTGTGTGCTGAAATTCAACAAAAGATCTCTATCTTTAAATGACTATTTACTTATTTAAGCTTCTAATGACAGATATGTAGACCCTTAAAAGGAACAAGATATTAAGTCTCTTAAAATCCAACTCAAGTTCAGGCTGAATTAGCAAAATTCAAATCCAAGCCTTTACTATTTCATGAACCTCCATAATATAGGATGTCCTCCAATTATCCAGGCCTTTATTGGGCTAAACATTCCCATTCCTATAGTCCATAACCTCCACCTACCACAACTCAAATATTTAAAAACTCAAACACAAAAAAACTTTTCAAACATATCTCTAAAAGAGATAAAGGAAAAACTTCAGTATCAACCACTTCTAAAAACCCAGATCACCAGGCCCTATCATCTCTTCATCCTACGATTCTTTTGAATCTAAAAAGAATGAACATGATAATCCCTTCCAAAACTTTTAGGACCCTTATCAACTTATGATCCAGTTAAACTAACCTTCTAACCCTATCCAGTCTTTCTTTAACACTTACTCCCAACAAACTATTTCTAAAATCCTTACCTGTAAACCGTGTGACAATACCTCTAATGAAGTGACACTTGATGATAAAACTTCTATAACTTTTGAAGAATATTTCACTAAAGATGATTCTTTTAATTCTTCTGACACCTGTTCTTTACCACCATTACTGATGGCAAATCCTTTTTAGTACAGATGCCAAATCCCCAATCATCACGGACTCAACAAGAGCCTACCGAGACACTCACCTCCACCATAAGAATTAGTGTAGATGAACTAGTTTGCAGTGATGATGAATTAAATCTTAATCCTTGTCATCATCAACCATATATTTATTCTCTAAGCGTAGATGGTTACTTTACTCTGGATGGTATACCATAAGTAAAGTGCCGAGACAAAATCATTGAATTTCATTCATGGCTAACCAGCTATATGCTTAAGAATGGCACAACCCTCAGGGATACATTACAAAAATTCCTTGCAAAGTTCTTAAAAACCTTATGGCATTGGTTCCATGTCTTAAATGATTACAGATAAATGTAATTTGTGAACAAGGTGTCTCTTTCTGAAGCTTTAGGATGGCTACATTATGTATTCCTTGGTA